TTTTGTTTAACTAACAGACTGCTGAGATTGCCATGACTCTCTTCTGCCTGGAATCCTGATTACTCGTCTCTTGAACTTAATGACAAAAACTTCTAACACAGTAAAAAAAATAACGAAATCAACGGGGAAGGTTACAAGAACCTTCAAGCTAGAAAGTTACAATTAGAACGATGCGATGCTGACATCAGACCAGTGAGATATCGGGTAATGGAGGATGGAACACAAAACCGCAAATTACGAACAAGAAAAATTTATTTAGAGGTCTGTTCACTGTGGGAGTCGGCAAGGAAAGTGTCACATCCAACAGGAAACAAAAATGTGGAAAGTCCGTGTTTTTGAGAAAGTCGCCAGGAGTTCAAACAATTCATTGCTTTAAGGAAACCTGTGTTCATGCCCGCCATTGGACCCCATTTTGAGCCAGTTCATACTCTGTTTCTTTAAATCCCCCCCCCACGTCTAGATCTGCATAATGCCTTGCGACCAAAATATAGTCCATTTAGGGCCCAAAATGTATTCCATCTCATGAAAACATGAGTATCGTTCTTCATTGCAAAGTTAACTGGAATGTGAAGCCGAGATTAAAATGCCTGAATTTTTACCCATAATCCTACGTGGTTTGTAGCTCAGTTACAATAAAATCCACAACTGTAGCCACGATCATAAAAAATGGATGTATTAGGCGTGGCCTATATTTAACGTGATGAACACGTGTCTGTCGCGCATACCGGCTTGGAAAAGCGCACTTTGATAAACATTCGTGTATTCATGCCACAGCCCCACGAGATTAGTCAGATTATTTGTCGTTTTCGGCATAATTTAATGACGCCATCACAAATCAGGCCGCGTCTGTCCCGATTTCATTGTGATACACAGATATCAGCTCCGCCTTCCAGGTCCGATAACATTCATATACAGTCTTATTTTTCAGGCATGGCCTGTGTCTACAGAGTGCGCAGTGGTCTTGATAAAATGGAGCAGGTGCGATGAGGACAGTTCCGTTTTCCACATTGTGTCACCCTTCTCCTTATCAGCGTCTTCTTCACACAAACGCTGTGACGCTCCCTCTTGTGCGAATCTTCGTGGTCACGGCTGATGTTTCTAACAGCACGCTACAGTAGGTACAGCGAAGTAACAAATATGGCCAATCTGGCAACAAGCATTTATACATATTCTGGATAAGCCTTGGAAAGTTTTCACAATAATGTATTTTTTGGACCTGTTATTGTAATTTACTGCAGAGTGGATACTAGATAGTCGAATTGGTCCATTACAGATAAGGTTCAATTTGAGAGAGCACCAATCAAAGTTCAGGATATGCCAGTACTAATTATTTATAATGCGTCTTCTTTATTTATTTTTATAGCCTATAAAGTATGGCGAACCAATAAGGATAATTGACAATTCTTTAACATTTTTTAAACTGCTGAAATTTTCTCGCCACTTACAAACAGCCACATCCGGCCTCCAGTAATAATTTCCCATCCTTGGTACAAGGCCATATTTAGGAAATGATTCGTATCATCTGGTCAAAGATTTTCTATTCTATTGTGTACTCCCTGTTAGTTCATTATTGGATTCACAAAATTTCGTCATTGGGCGATATGCTGAGGGAACTGAACCCAGTCAATAATTTTGCGTCTCGCAGCTCTACGATCCACTGTAATATTATCCGCCTATCCCGTCAGGTTGTCCAAATTTCTCAGTTATAACAGCACGCTACTACATATCCTGTCCATCTCAGTTTTATCAACTTCATTATCCTCGTCCCCAACAGCAATACGTGGAATTAAAAATTATTAATCTCGTAAAGGAATTTTCCCCACATTCACGTGGCCAAAGACGCTCCTCAGCAGGCTACTTCGTTCTCAGATACCTCAATCAATACGCTACTACCAGAACACGTTTGTTGTTACATTAAGACCGCACCAAGTCCGTTCATGTTCAGAATCGGCGTCTCGGTAACGAGAAAAAGACTACCGCCCAAAAAGGTTTAAACGTCGCAATACATTTGGCACAAAAGGAAAATGAATTTCCAGAGACGCCGTTATGGCGCCCAAGAGCGACAGACGCTTTGTTTTCATTTGCTCGTCTCGGTTGATACGGGCCAATCAGAGGCCTTCGTCCACGCAGGCTTGTTCCACATGCCCCTAATTGACGAATGTCCTGTCTTCAGAGCTACGTGGTTTGAATTCTCTCTCTCTCTTTATGCAATTCAGAAAAACAGTGAGAGAGAAACTAAATCGCTAACCCTAGTCTCTCTGCTGTGTTGCACAAGTTCCGGTTTTATACTTCCTGGCATTTTTCATCCTAGGATCCGTACGTTGCCATCATTCTGCCGGACAGATAATTTAATCGACATATTTCCTATTAATGAATTCATCTATCGATGAAGTTAATTTGTCAGCTTATAAAACCTACGAAAATAATACGTAATTAAACAAAGCGTAATATTAATTTTAAGTTATTTTATCCCGTAATATAACATGTTATGTTTGTCAACAAGTTCCTTGGAGCAAGTAGTCGATCTCGGCTATTCAAAAAATTCTTCGCACTTTATGGAATCCAACAATCCCTTGTCGTGTTCGCATAGCCCACCTTGACCTCATCCTAATACTGTTTAATTAATTGCAAACAGACAGGGGCTAAACAACTCCTATATTGAATAAAAAATTTCCTGGATATTATCCATTGTCTAGTAAATATAAAACGTAAATCGACGTTTCGGAGATGGGTCTCTATCTCCGTCTTCAGGTTCCTACACAGTTGGGCCCACTAGATAGAGCTAATCCCTATCTCCGGACGTCGTTTTTATGTTTTATATTTACTAGACGATGGATAATATCCAAGAAAATTTTTATTCAATTGACTCTTCACCATCGTCAAGAAGTTTTAGATTTGATAAACTCCTATATTAATGAATGAAAGAAAAGCTTGGCTGTTTTAAAAAGAACGGAAACATAGGAGGTTATGTTAATGAAGATGGCATTTTGGCAGGACTCGATACCAACAGGTGTTGGGAAACGAAACCCCTGCAATTATCTCGAGGAATAATATTGCCATTTCAAGCCTTGTCTCAGTTTTAGGCTGCTTTCGTCCGACTTCGGTCCTTACTCCAGCCACTGTGTATTCCAAACGTCATCACATTGCGACCAACGGGTGAACAAAGAAATTCATTTCAAGCGAAGGCACACGTTAAGCGTGCCCGTATGTCAAAATCCGTAATTGGTTAAGTGGACTTTTTTTGTGCTACATAATGCGATTTAGCCTGGGGGGGAAAGATGAAAACAGAATGTCGTTTATTGTGGTTTTGAATACATTTGCTCCAAGCTCCAAAATGTTTATATTTTAAAAGTACAACAATTTGGCTCCACATTTATAAACATATGACTTTCTTTAACCTATAAAGCCCATTGGTAACTACAAGTCTCACCTTCTTCAACAAGAACTCTTAAATTTTGCATTTATGGGTATTGAAATAATTCTCGCTGTAAACTGGATCCGTTTCCTCAAACGCCTCTGAAATGGTAAAGAGTGGTTATGAAGATTTCTGTCTTCTGGGTTGTTGCGCTGTGTAGTCTGGTCGATGTTTACCAACGTTTCAGAGGTCATACTGCCTCCGTCATTAGGGCGATGATATCATCATCGCCCTAATGACGGAGGCAGTATGACCTCTGAAACGTTGGTTAACATCGACCATACTACACAGCGCAACAACCCAGAAGACAGAAATCTTCATACTCACCGCTGTGAGAACCTCAAGTCTTACAAGAGTGGTTATGTTTGCCGAAAGGACTGAACTCTTAAATATTATTTGGACGAGATTAGGTTTCAAGGGGTTATTTTAATATGACAGTGAGAGCAATGCCCTTCTGTTCTCTCTACCACCTGTCGAACCATTTTAATCTGACGAGGTGGTTTGTGCCGAAAGCTATGAGAAGAATTTGCCATTGGCCGTCTACTTTGCATCAAACTAATTGTTTAAGTCTAATGAACTTGTGGGCTACGTAACAGAAGACCGTCGACTTTTACTTGGAACATTTCTCGATGTCGCCTTATATCTAACGAAATACAAGAAAAAGTACATTATAACTCTGCGCTGTGTGTTTATTGCAGTGCGGTTTGTATATAGCCACATAATGAGGTAAATGGCCCACACATGTTAATGCATTGAGATATTTTAAGCCTCTGAATTTTGACATGGTATTTTCTACCCCATTCTTTTGGAACATAGTTAAAGCAATCAAACATCATTTTGTGAACTCTATAACACAGGCCTACACTCATTTTAGAGATTCAAAACTGATAACACGAGATACAATAGGCATCACTTTTATTATTGTATAATATAAATTTTATATTATTCTTTATTCGCACGGCAATGAAAAACTGGTGCTGAATGTTCCCTAATTGGCCGGTTTTGTTACAAAAATGTGTCTTAAATTACAGTCGCGTCTCGTTTGTCGTGTCCAGCTTTGGAAAGTTACGGTCGCCCGAGGAAACTTAGGCTTGACAGGTGACATGACAAATTTGTAAATAATAGAATTCCTCCAGGGAAGTTCCGTGTGGAGATCATAGACTAACAAAGCAAATTCATTCTTGGCTTAGACCTATCAAAAGAAGCCTTCTGTCACAACCTCGTTCAAATGCAAATCCAAGATATTAACCCCGGGCTGTACTGACGTTTTCATTAAGAACGAAATAAGATGTTTTGAGGTAAGATATTAAATCCAATTAATAAAAATACTACGGAACAAGTACGGAGCGTATATCTTTAACGTGTCAGCCCGGCCAACACTTCGAAAAACATAAAATGTCCTGTCTTTATTTCGTCGTTCAGTGCCATTTCATACACTGGGACACGGCAGAACCAACTAGATAAAATGCATCGTTAGCCAGCACCTGCCAGCCAGGCAGGCAATGTCAGCGGTCTTACGCCTGCAGCGAACCTCAACTAGCTGACTGTACATTAATATTAATATTAATAATAATAATATACTCACCAACGGCGAGTAGAATGCCGAACTATCGACGCCAATGCTTGGGTAAGGATTCTGGTCGGTGGACGGGTAGGGGGTACCATAGACGCCAACCCCCGACGTCGACAACCGGGGGTAGGATGACAGGGCAAGTCTGGCCGAGTCGTACTGGCAGGAGCAGACGGTCTGTCCAGACACTGGGTCCGTCATGATGGGACGACCGTTCTCACAACACGACGTGGCGCCCGCTGGGGGCGGCGCACTATTACCTGTCGCACCGCCGCCACTCCCCGGGGACACCGCGCCAGCCGTCACACTGCCCCCGGAACCCGCGCCCACACCAAGAGGTGGAGACGTAGCCGTCGTAGGCTGTCCAGCCACCAGTAACTGAGGGCACATACAAAGCGTATCTCAATAATCTTTCATCGTGAAATCTGTACATCTATAGGATTAAAACATTTTTTCAACAGAACCTTAAGTCTTCATAAAACAACTAAAATGTTAATATACCAACACTTAAGAAGAGGGACACCACTTCTAAGACACCTCACGGGGTGCAACAAAATTCTCGACTAGGCTTAATTATGACGTAAGCCTGCCTATACTTTGTACCTCGGGTTATGACGGGGTTTGTTCTGAAGTGCAACTTCAACTGCTATCTCTTTTAAAAGCGTCATCGTATACTCAGTTCTGAACAAGAGGGTAGGATTAAATAGTCAAATAGACGTGATTCTTTCTAACTAAATTTTTCTGGTCGGATTTGTTTTGTTTTAAAAATTGCCGGTTTATAACACTGTAATTATGTTTTGGTATTTCCTGTTTCTCTTTTTAACTTTTTACTGAACTGTATGTTATGCAAATTTCGAAGTTTTGGCTTTGCTCTTATCATCTTATCTTTTAAAAAAGTTGTTTTTCTTCTCGATAACTGTTGCCTACCACTCGCCATTTTCGACACACAATGAAAGGTATCGAATAGTTAACATTCCGTAGGTCGGGCCTTAACTCATCAGGGCGGAGGCATTATGACCTCTGAAACGTTGGTTAACATCTACCAGACTACACAGCGCAACAACCCAGAAGACAGAAATCTTCATACTCTGATGACGGAGGCATGACCTCCGAAACGTTGGTTAACATCGACCAGACTACACAGCGCAACAACCCAGAAGACAGAAATCTTCAATTAAATAATAATAATATAATTATTATTATTATTATTTTATTCTTTAATTTTTTATTTTGTGGTGTAGGCCTGTTTGTAATCGGCCGTTTGGTGACTGTATTATTATTATTACTTACACAAACTGCAAAATTTAGTAGCCTGCAAAAAACAAATACTTCCTAACTCTAAGTAGTGTGTATCTACAGCGTGTCCCAAAAAAGATGTATACAAAGCAGAAACCTTTGTGGGCGCTGGTCAGTCAGTTGCCCTCCGCTGTCAACTGTGCCTCGAAGCCAACAGTGGTCATTTGAAACACTTACACTAACTTCCATAATTCACTTCATTAAAATGTCTTTATTTCATTCAGTTAATGTGTGTACACATCTCTTTGGGGCACTCTGTTTTCTGCAGTCAGCTTGGGAACAATCGATTAGTATCTGCAACAAATGAACATCAAGGCCAGTGATATCGCAAAACGTAAAGGCACACACCTGAAGACCATCAGTACACATTTCCGGCGGCGATGTTACACGCTAGGCCCAGGGCCTGCTTAATTCTTTGCACAAGATAGGACATCAGATTTAAAAATCTTTTGAAACAGATTATATATAATGATGTTGAAAGCATGAATGTTGCTGAATTATCGTGTATTAAGGCACTTAATGTTTCGCAGCACACACACTGAGTTTGTAATTGTAGGTTTCACGTTTACCAGTTGTGTTTTATATCACTTCTGCACTGTTATAAACTCCTGTTTTCTGAGTTTTAATTATGTTACATAAATTGTAATTAAGAGTGAAATTTAAGTACTTTTGTACTGCAAAAAAATGCCGTGCAACAGACTTTGCTCCTTACATACCGTTTCACCAATTCGAGAGATTCAATACGAAATTCTTTCCAACTTCTGTAATTCGAACATGGTTCCATATGTTTCAAACCCGACTCGTTCTGCTCCAGTAAAGGTTAACATGCAGCCAGCAAGAGGTTGTGGCCCATTCACGACCTGTGCTGCTGAGCTTGTAGCCCTGTAAGTTACTCAGCAGAGGTGGAATTAATTCAATCACATTAAACTAACCTCCTTATTTACAACTGAAATGGCCGCGTCAGCAACACACGATAAATCCCAAATAATAAAACTGGTCGACGCGAATAATCTAGGTTGGTATTACCGCACTTGGAATGACAATAGGCGTATGAATAATTACTAATAATGGACGCTCCCACTCTGACCTTCTACACAGTTCTAAATCACTTGGCTTCTTTCTTTGTTTTTTTGTGCGGTTAACACTTCGTTTATTTACTCCAATCGACGGTTGTTGTCTGAACATTATTCTTTACTTGTTCCAGAACAACTCAGCTTTTTTCTATCTTCTTACGAAAGCTTTATATCTGTATATTCTGTCGTGTTTTTCTTTCCTGATTTTTTCCCTTTATTTATGGTTTCTCTTTGCCGTTCTCCCTTCCACATTATTTTTATTCAATTCTTATTTCTTTTATCACGTCTTACTTAAGCTTCATTTCTTTTTCGTGTTTTTATCAATTCAACTTCATTCCACGTCGCTCTTTGTTCGCTATTATAAATTGTGTTTCCACAGGTCTACCAACTGCATTGATCTGTAACGTTATTTCTACGGGGTTACTAACCAGAAGATCACAATCGACATGTTAGCCGCTGTGAGAATTTGAAATCTCGGAATTGTTTCAGATCCTTTCGCATCTACAGAACATTTATTTAAGTCTGAGATTTGAAGTTCTCACGGCCGTGAAGATTCTTGTAGATTGTGATGCCGTGTGAACTTGTAGATGCCAGCGATTCGGAAAAATATACCGTCTGTATCTCTATAATCACAGCTGAAGATGAAGGCAGTATGTTATTGCGAACCGTAGGTATACACCTATACGTCCACAACACCAACGACTTATTTAAACGTGTTAAAATATGTACCACGGCCTTCATGTGAATTGTTGTACATTATTTCCGTATAGAATAAACTACGTTTTGTAATATTCTAGCATGTGTAATCGATACAAAGTATCAACATAGTCCGTTCTTTCAAACGATCCTTTTAATATCCACATAGGAGAAGACACGAACATGTCACGCATTACTGCGTAACACAGAATCTCTCTCATTACAAGCCTTTTTCTGAAGAATATTGAAACTGTGCTACAGACCTCCCTCTAACAGTGTTTAATTTACAACTCTAATTTGCATCTACAGACAAAACACTGCCAAGTGTGGGGGTTAATTAAAACAAGGAAAATATCAAATATATTTTGTTACTAAATTATAAATGACAACTGTAATAAAAATAATTGTCATTATTATGTACGAGTTCTAAACTAACGTTTTTTATAAGGCCTACAGGGATAATTGCTTACATTTCCGTCTCTCTGGTTGGCGGTTATACAATACAAGCACACCGAAAAAGAGAGAAAAAAAGGGGGTTTTACCGCAGAGAAACGGATCTAAACGGATGTATAAAAATGTTCCTCACTATTGTTTAACAACGATGAGAAGTATGATATCAACTGATGTACTCAAATGAAGTCGTAATTTCATCTGCATTGTACTGGAACTCCGAAAATGCAACACAGAAAAATCTGCATAGCGAGGTTTACTCTTCCGAAAAAAATTAATGTGTAAAACACACGATCTCGGTTCTGAATACATACAACCATTCTTACAGCACCCCACAAGCTGAGGTTGAAGGGTCTACCTGCTGAAACACCGCATTAGAATAATCTAGAGTTTTGGTAAAATTAATTAAAATCTACTTCTTATCCCAGTGGGTTGATAAACGTTTAACGTAAGATATTTCAAAAAAGCATAAGCCTGTGCTAATAAGATGCGTCGTTAATGAGGTGATGGCCGTCGCGTGCTGAAGCCTTTGTGTGGTATGGTACTCACGGCAGTGACCATGTATTTTATGGACAACATGGTGCAGTGCGATTTTAAACAATAAAACGTCGGACAAGTGAGGCGTCTTCTGGTTGAGTAAGTGTGGATGTCGACTCAGGGATTTCTCTTTGCTGACCATCTTTCTGGTGAAAATTTAGGTACTTACTTTCGTCCTTCTGTTCTTATTCTGTCTTTCTAGTTTCAGTTCAGGTCACTAAACTCGGTAAAATTTATAACATCTCCAGCCATACACTCTTAAAGCCGTGATAAAACGTATTATATTTAAACTTCTTTTCAAAACACGTCAGGAGGAAGCGATGGCAGGTGACAGTATCTCACTTATTCAATCTGTCAATTTTCTATTCAGACTGTCCCTAATAAATTGTTATCTAATCCATTTCTGTATTCTCAGAGTCCCGCCACAAGTGAATGGCTGCTTTGTTCCTAGCTGAAGGTGTTGGCAGTTCATCTTCACAGTTCTATCTCACAAATTTAACGGACAACTTGTAACAAAAGTCTTCCAGGGTTCGACATGCGAAGAGTTGATAATGAAGATTATAGCACAACAACAATAATAATTATTATTAATATCATTTTTTTCATAAAAATATAATTTTAATATCTCCGGTTTGTCCGTTGCTCTTTCTGTGGTCGAGTTCAAGTTTTTATCATATATACATCTATACTGTTTCATAACTTGGAAACCTTTAAATTCATTCAGCGATGACTATGCAGCACCAAGGTGATAAATAATGCAAAAGATGAGTGAAGACGAAGAATGACCATATACTGTTAAGTTTCCTTTATGGTTGACAAGAATGTATTCATACATCTGCATTACAGAATAAGCAGCCTGATTTCAGTAAAATATATTTTAAAAAGGAACCGAACCATGGTCGTCCATCCACCGAGTAGCCTAAACATCGAACAGATTGAGCTAACCCGTGTCGTAGAATTAACCTGTCTAAACCTAAGTATAGTTATCGTGGACCCAACACTGTATTACGCTGTATAATGCGGAGCTTGGCACTGGGGTAGAGACATACGCTAAATACTTTCTGGAGAATGTGAATTTGGCGCAAAACTATCCACAATTTATATGAATTTCATAATGAATTTTATTGTTCATTAAAAGAAAAGTCATTGTTATGTAAAAATCTACTTTATTTGAAACAACTGATACTTAGAAAAATACTTTCAGTAGCCTACATTAAACACTATTAGTTTAAAGGAAGTTTGGCCTAGGGTACTTATATAGAATACATCGTGACCAGTGATATATGCTCTTCCAATTTGAGTAAATCGTTCCACTCTTGTTCAACA